GTGTATATACATGTCTGCGTTTGGGTATTTCCCACATTGTTTCTATTCCTTTTCGAAAGGTAATGATAGTTTCTCTTATTTTTTTGTATGTATGCCGAAAGGAAAAAAATAAATAAATAAAATGTATTCTCTCTTCTGTATTTGGATCTGTATTGTTTTTCTAATGTGTAAAGTTTATCCAATTACTCATAATTAGAAAAACAAAAAAAAATAATTTATTGCACCGTACAAATATGACCCAAAAACTTATTCTAGCTGAAGGACTTGATCTGCTTCGACGCACAGAAGCCCGTGAGTATGAGGTGGATCGTAGTCAAGTCCGTATTAGTTCTAGTAATAAATACCGAAATGAGCTTGGCCGCCTTGCACAGGCATACGGGGTTGTGTATGCGGATTATTTACGTGGAGTAGAGATAATCAACTATGTACGCCGCTGTGCCATGGAGAGTTCCGATGTGAACAGCCGCAGTCTTGTTGAGATGTGTGAAGGTAAGATGCGAGTCTACATGGATCGCTGTGATGGTGTTCGCAAGAAGGAAGATAATATTCTTCTCCCACTAGAGCAAGTAGACACACATCTCGTAAAGGCGGCTTTTGAAGTAGCGGAACCCGTTTTTATGCTCAATGGGGCACAATATAAACTCACCCGTAAAGAACCATTTATGCGAGAGGAACAACTCGGCGATGGATCTTATCTTTTAGTGGTGAAGAATTTGGATAGTTATGGTATTGCAGCTCCCCTGGTGACTGTGGTGGTGGATATTATTCCCCAACGTGGACAACAACAACGATTAGAAAAAGAAATTCCCTGCCAATGTGGATGGCGACGTGTGATTGGAGTTGTGGGGAAATCTACATTACGAGTAATGGCTCGCACAGATGGACTCGTGCGGGACTCACATGTAGATATCACTCTCTATAATCTTGAACGGGAAACATCAACAACATCAACAAACTCTAAAACAATGAGAATAGAAGGAAATTATAATGATGCGCCTGGGGCAATGGCAGAGAAGATTGTTCAACAATTACCAAAACTCACCGATGAGGAATTGGAGATTCTTGCCAATTCAAAAGTTCCAACAGGTGAGTTACCAGGAAAAGCACCCAATAGTGATGAACCAAAGAATACCAAAGTTACCATGCAACAACTACAATCCTTAAATGTACCGCACATTGGTGGAAATGCGACAACTCCATTAGTGGTCCCAGAGCGAATAGAAGTAAATCCTGCAAAGATGAACTGCTCAGATCGCCTAAAAAGATTACGAATGACATTAAATGCCTGGCCAGCCAATAATGTGATGGCCGTGCAGTTAAATAGAGAACAACAAACTATTCTGCAGGCAGCCTTTGCACTACCACTTCCTACCGAGTTAGATGACTAAAAGAATGGGGAAAAAAGAAGAGAAGAAGACTTTGACTCTACTTTCTTTTGTTTTTTATCATCATCATCTTTAATAACGTTCACATATCTCTCTGTGTGTGGAAATGGATGTGGATGTGGGCATGAAGGGAGTTGGGATTTCCTTTTTTTTTCTCTTCTATTATAGCAAGTATCCATACAGAGTTGAAGTCTCAGAAAAATTAAATCGGTACGAGTAGGAGAAGTGAGACATCAAAGAGAAAAAAGAAAAAAGAACAGAAATTACTTTTTTTTTCGCATTTCTATTTTCCGTGTTTTTTTTTTTTTTTCGTTATTATGATATTTCTTTTATTTTTTCTCTCTCCATTAGAAAGGGAAAGAGTTTTATACGTATAGACAAAGGAAGACATCTTTATAAACACAGAGGAGAGTAGTAATTAGTGGTGATATTACCTTTTTTTTTTTTTTTTTTTACCCCTGTAAATAAGAAAAAAAAAAAGAAAAAAAGAGAATCTCTAGATATGTCTGCTGCTGTTACGATATCACCACTCTTTACACCCATTACGATTGGGGCAAAACAACATATTATTCTCCCCAACCGTTTTCTCATGTTACCCATGTATTTAAATATCGAACAGGAACTTCCCATGTGGAGTGATGCTCACATGAATGCAATGGGAGCCTTTTACGCAGAGCGGGCTCGATATGGAGCTAAACTAATTATATGTGGTGGTTTGGGAGTTTCTCATCTTGGTAAGTGGCGTAAAGACAGTATGGCTTTAAATACAAAAGATACCGTCAAAGCCTTTAAACGAGTAACAGATGCCGTTCATGCAGAAGATGGTATTATTTTAGCACAAGCCTTTCATCCAGGACGTGCAGCACGAAGACGTTGGTTTATTTCTTCCACCTCTACACCTTCATCTGTACAACCTTTTCCGAATGCACATCCATGGAAGTTACCAGCCTTGTGGGTGGATTATATTGTTTCTGAACATGAACGGTTTGCACGATTGGCAGAAGCGGCTGGATTTGATGGAATGGAAATTCCTGTGAGTGAGGGAGGGTTATTGCATAATTTTCTCTCTTCTGCAGTAAATGATCGTCATGATAGATTTGGTGGTTCTCTAGATCATCGATTAGAAATCATATTACGTGTATTAGATTCTATTCGTAAATCTTTAATAAATCCGGAACGATTTTTACTCTCTGTTCGACTTTGTGTACATGATCTTAAAGTGGGTGGTACACCTATGGAAGAAACCCTTACAGTAGCGGAAGTTCTTTCACGTTTTGGTGGTGTGGATTTATTAAATACAAGTGTAGGGATGCATGATTCCCCTATACAAACAATGGCATCTTATGTACCTCAAGCAGCCTTTGCTCGTAGTGTTCATTGTGTACGAGAACGATTACAATCATTAAATTTAAATCTTCCTATTGTGGCTACACATCGTATACATTCTATAGCAGTGGCGGAAAAACTTTTACGTGAAGGTGTATGTGATTTAGTTGGAATTGGTCGTCCTTTATTAGCAGATGCTCAAATGATTCAAAAAGCTGCAGAAGGACATGAAGAAGCTATTATTCCATGTATAGCTTGTAATCAATGTGTTAATCGATTATATAAACATCAAAGGATTACATGTGCAGTTAATCCAGTGAGTGGATATGAATGTGAACGACGATGGTTACCGGCAAAATATAAAAAATCTATTGCAGTCATTGGTGCTGGTCCTGCAGGGATAACATGTGCGTTAACCTTATGGAGACGTGGTCATGATGTTTCCTTATTTGAGAAATCCAATACGATTGGTGGTCAATTAAATCTTGCTAAAGTGATACCAGGAAAGGAATCTTATCAAGATATATTACAGTATTGGATACAACAATTACGTCAATCTACTATTAATATACGAGTTGGAGCGGAATTTACACGTGAGGATATGGCGAAAAATCATCAATTCTTTCATGCGTTGGTTCTTTGCTGTGGTAGTGTACCAAGACCAGCCACATCTCATCAAATCCCAGGAACATCGGAATCTCCATTAGTTGTACCATTTGAAAAGATATTAAATGGTAGTGTTCGTGCGGGTCGTCGTGTCGTAATAATTGGCAATGGAGCTATTTCACATGATGTGGCTTCTTATTTATTACATGATCAACGAGTTTCACGCAGTGTAGAGGCTTATTGTGATGAATGGGGAGTAGATCTTGAAAAGGGTGTGATTAACCCATATGCTGCAGAGAGTGCCCCTCGTAATAATCGTGATGTGATTATTTTTAATAAAGCCGATAAGGATGCGGATCTCTCACGTGGTAAAGGATGGACACAGAAATTATGGATTCGTAATCATGGTGGGACGATTATTAAACATGGATTAGTAGAAAACATTGATCAAAAGGGTGTACATGTTTCTATGCTTGCCCCAGATTCCCGTAAATTCTTTGTAGAGTGTGATACCATTATCTGGGCGTATGGAATGTTGCCTAATATTTCGGTTGGGACTTGGATTTATGAATGGATGAAAGACGGGGCGAAGGAACGGGGGGAAATGATTTCAGACTTTAGTATCTACACAGCGGGATCTTGTCGGGATAGTTACACCGGGGAGGGACACGGGGAGGAGGATCTCTTACAGGCTGTTCATGAGGGATATGAGATTGGATATAAGATATAAAGAAGAAGAAGAAGAATATATCAATATAACAATATATAATCGGTAATATGGATTCTTGTGTTGTTTTCTTATTCTTATTATTATTCTATGTTTGTTGTTGGTATCGTCTTTATTT